AAAAGAAGTTTTAAAGCAATGAGTCTAAAAAAATATATTTAAAAATATTATATTTAAAAATTATACATTTTTTTTTCTATTTGTTTATCTATAAAAAATATTTCATCATTTGGAATTTATGAATTTTTAAAAATTGAAAATCGCATTCTTAATATAGCTTCATTAAATAAACTCTTCAAAAAACTCAACAAATTTTTTGATATTAATAAATTATATAAAATTTTTCACCAATTCGATTTCCATTGTAAAAATTGTTATCACAAATATTGAATTATTGTACATTATGAATCTTCCAATCAAAATGTCCTTTTTATCCTTATTAATTATTCAAAAATTTCATAGGAAAGATCAATGGAAAATTAAAGTGAATTTTTATCATAAAATATTCTTTTTGAACAACGTAAAATTATTTATTATTAAATAATATAAATTTCATTATAAATATGATTAACATTATGTTTTTTATTTAACGTAAAAATGATATAAATTCGCGATTTTTTAATCAATAATTGCGCAAGCGCAAAGTATCTATCAGACATGAATCTTGCTTCTCAGTCAATTCGCGACAATCGTGATGCGAGATTCGCGATACAGATGGCGATGTTGCGCTTGCTAAACAAGTTTGCCACGCGTGCCGGCGAAATAGTGGAAATCGTCGTCTCGTTGCCGGTTCGTGTTCGTCAGTTTCCCCTTCGTGCACATATATGTCTGTGAATTGTGGTATGCGCTGGACATGCAGCCCATATACATGTACACGTGCCCCGGGGGGTAGGGTTTCTAGATCCCTTGTTCTTTCCGTCGCGAAAAGAAGGGCTTTTTGCAATCGACTGCCAGTCTGTGTGCCTCGAATTCGTGAAGGAGACACGGTTCGAGTATGTGAATTTGACGATACGTGGACAAATAGTGTAACTTCCGTTGTAAAGGATTTCTGAGTTACATGTTCTTTATTTTACGTGAATTCCTGCGAAAAAACTTGCTTATTCGCGAGTGATATTAATACATCTGATGCAAATTGTTCATTAGATTGTTGAAATAGCCTGATTGATGTCTCGAAATTTGGATTCGAGAAAGAAATTTACGATCAGTAGTGATGAGAACAAAGTATTCGCGAGCAATGGCCGATATTCAAGAAATTATTGACTGTCTAAATCTATACGTTAGTACAGAAATATATTTCAAATACATATTCGAATTTTTGATATTTCTACAACAATTGATAAATCCTACCTCAAAATTCTGTATACATCCTCGTTAAAACTGCTATTTTTTTCTTTTTATTTATTCTTTGATTGAGGCAATGTTTATTTCATTCACAAATAAACTTAAAATTGAAGAGTGTTCTAAATAAATTATATGAAATTCATGTGAATATTTGTGACGGGTATGCCGATTTGGCGGTACGTCCCTGGTCCCCGTCGTAGAGGCAGAGAGACACGACGACGACTGGCCGAAGAAACGAGAAAAGGCACCGGGTATGCGTGAGGGCAGTGATCTCTCAGGGAGCGGCGACCTGACGTACGAACGAACGGTGTGTGATAGATATAGGATATATACTTACTTCATCATGTTTTTTTCTCTGCTATTTCCTATGTCATTGGATTTTCTACATACGGATCCATAGGATGCAACAATGTTCCTGTTTTAACCGCACTATAGAGGTAAAGATCAGAATTTGCACTTCCGCTGTTTCCTGCCGCTTGATTTTAGCACGCATTCTTGATAAATAATGAAAAGCAACGGGATCAAGTTCAGTATGCGAATCAATTCGAAGAAGAATAATGGAAGTGAATTCATTTTATTAGAAATTAATATTTACTTAAATAAATATAATTTACATATTGTAATATGAATTTTTAATATTAATTTCGTTATTTGAATATTGATAATTGCCTTGGTGGCAGCACCCTCCAAGAATCGCAATTCAGATATCGATATTACTATATTGATAGTTAAGAATTTTTAAATTTCGAGATATAATTACATGGTAGATTTCGAGTATTTAAAAATAAAATAAAATATTTCAAATATTTTCTAATAATAAAGTTCGCCATTAATTAAAAGTATTTGAAAAGATACAAATTCTTATTTCTAAGTAGGTATAAATAGAATGCTTTTCTGAGTATCGATTAACATGTTACTCGTATAACTGAAAATCGATTTTTAACGATCCATTTATCATTGCTTGCGATTCTCGAGCGATCCAAATATGGCAAACGATGGTGGACAAGTTCAAGTTATATTATCAACGTTCAAGTATAATATTATCGAATTATTTAATCATACGAAATTAAAAATGTGAAAAGAATTTATAGATTACACATCAAATGAAACATAGAAGAATGAAGTCATATGGTCAGTTTCATTATCGATAAATACATATGTGACTATTTACATTGCATCTTGAAAATAAATTTAAAAAAGTGACAATTTTTAAAAGCATAAAATATGTAAAAATAATAAATTAATTGAAAAATAAATAATGAACTAAATGATAATTATTTAATATAATTAGTAATTCTAATTAGCAATTCTAGCATTGATCAGTTTACGATTATTTTTTTCAATCTAACAAAATTATATCATTAACTATATTAATATCTTATTACTTATTATTATCTTATTATGAATATTTAATAATTAATAATTTTAAAAAATTATTTATTACAATTTTACACGTAATTTGTTTATTCTTATTATTTTTTTCAAATAAATCGAGCCTGACATTAGTCTAGAATGTAATTTTCGATCTTTCATAGAATCTCCATCTCAAGAAAACTGACGGACATTGCAAGGGCCAGCCTGCACCATCTATTCCAAACTTTTCTTCCCCATACCTTGGCGCATGGGGCGGGGCCGTTGCAGTGCATCGAAAGAGAAATTTTTCCGGCGGTTGTTGGCCCAGCCCCACGACGAACGAATACTAGGGTGTTTCCCACATGAATGGCAGAGCAGTGGAGGCACATTGCAAGCAAGCTGCAGCGCTGCAGTAGGCCTGTGGGCCAAGGTTCTCTCTCTCCCTTTTGTTCCTCTTTTCCGTGCTTCTTTCCACTTACTTTTTGTCTTGGATATCCTCTTTTTCTTAACTACTTTTATAGAGTAAAAGCTATTTATAATCAGGAATGAATCAACAATGGTTAAATATTTTATTATTTTTAAAAATTTTTAAAAACATTTTATTATACATTCCCATGGTAACATTTTGTTATCATTTTTATTTGCGTTCGAATTTTTTATTATAGGAAATTTTACAAACTTTCTTGAAAGAAAGATCAGTTATTAAAAATAGATAGCTTATTTTTTCTTTCATTATTTAGCATATATACCTATATCTTAATTCTCGGATGCAAATGCATTCAAAATCCCTTCCATTGGGCTAGCTATTCTAAGGTTCTTTGAGGTTCTCTGAGGTTGATAGGCGTAACCCTTTCCCTTTAAGAATTTTTCATGAAGCCCAACCTGGATTTTCATTGGCTGTGAATTATGAGAATTTTTCTAATATGGCTTGTTAGACTTGCCCTTTCTTTAGATATTTCTCCATTGATGATGGTATATTATATTATTATATTCTGATGTAACTTTTGTTTGCAACTTTTTTATTTATCAAAGTTGCTCTTTTTTATCAATAATTTTATTTTTTATAATTTTTAAATTATATTTTAATTTATTATATTTAAATTTAATTATCATTTAAATTTATAAATAGAAAATACTTATGGGAAATGCATTATTATAAAAAAAATATATTGATATTCATTTTCTGTTTCTGATCTGTGTAATCAAAAAACATTGAATTATTCTATATTAGTGAAGACTCACAAAACTATATTGATATCTTGCGCAGTGCATATATACATACTGTGGTTGCGCAGATGTGCGTAATCTTTTTTCTTACTGGGAATCATTCAACTTCGCAGAAGAATCATATTTTTCTGCGTAAGCTCATTTCCGATTCATGTTTGATACAAGTGTATTTTTATGGAAAGATACTCATTTCGATATTGTTTTTTCTGTTGACTATTTGTGTTTTTCATGTATTTATAAAGATTTATTTATATTTTTGGTAAATTGAATTTAGATTAAATAATATAATTAGATATTAATAGAATTAGATAATAATTAATTATATTTTCATAATATTTAATATTTAATAACAAAAACAATTTAATGATATTAATTATTTATTTTATATGTAATATTATACATATAAATTACTTTTATTTTTATTTATAATAATTAATTATTGATTAATTATTATTGATTAATTTTAATTAAATTCTGCATCATATTTCAAACAAAATTTTTTAATAAAAAGAAGAAACATCAATTGATAGTTTAATACATTTTATATTGATTTCTTCATGTAGAACAATATACATAGAGAGATGGTGGCGTTTCTTTATAGCTAGGTTGAGGTTACCGGAGGCCGTTTCTCGTCGTCTCTGGCTTGTCTAGTCATGGCAAGGTGCATGCTCGAGTATCGTATACTTACACGCAACACACAGAAACTAAACGGCAGAGCGGAGCTGTTATAGAAGGGAAATAATCAGGATCAGATACATCCGATATTGTTGTTTGTAACACTGATATCATTTTGAAGAGTGCAAATTTTCCCAAAAGATGACGATCTTATTAAATAGGTATATAGAATAGTTATAAAATTCTAAATAAAAAAAAAATATAAGGAATTGTTTGCAATAAAAGATTATTAAAACCTAAATAAATAAAACTAAAATTTAATGGAAATACTTATATTCTGTAGATACTGAAGTGTTGAAAGAAAAATTCATGGAAGTTAAAACTGGAAAAGAGATGACTAATATGAAAAATGGAATATTTGTACGAGATAGAGTTATGATGAAATTGCTTTTAAGAATGCATAAATTTGTGGTGGTATTCAAAATATAAATGCATTTCATTCCAATTTAATCTCATGTAACGTGTCCTTTATATCTCATTTTATTTTTAGAGAACTTGGAACTTTTGCTAACATACATAAAACTACTAATTTATGTATGTTATATATGTTTAACCTACATATCAAATTCAAAAATTATGTAGTCTGAGAAGAATTAGCACGCGAATATTTAAGAGGGATATTGAAAACTGGTTGAGGATAGGGGACAGAGAGGTTCCTTTGCGTCCGCGGGGCTTCGGTGTCAACAGGTTTTATTTTTGCCCCGCGAAAAGGCCAAGGTCCTCTCTTGCCCCTACCGTGCATATCCGCCAGCAGTTCCCTACCCGCACCCCGCCCCTTTCTCCTCTTTCTACTCAGATCCCCTCCATCGGCATCGTCATCTCCTCTACAAGTGGGGAGACTCCCGGGGGGTGCTACGAAGAACCTTCTGGATTAATACCCGCGCTTCAGGAGAGTCTGCTCCATAGCTCCATTCTGAAGATTCTATGGAAGTCTGCTGATAATACGATAACATTTTATAGAAGAAGATTTACTATTTATGAAGTATGTTCATATGGAGTTTGTCAATGATTTGAAGCAATTATGCAATTAAAGAAATGATGTTCTGTTTATATTTTAACTATAAATTGAAGAAGAAAATGCACGAAATTGATATTAATGAGGGTGGCACAAGTAAAAACCAATCGAGAGAGATCAAGAAAAATAGTAACTGGAGAACGTAGACGAAAAGAAAAAGAACAATAAAAGACGTACAAGATGTAGGGAGCATATGACAAAGAGAATTGGGAAGGAAAGAAAAAAAAGAAAGAAGAAAGATGAAAGATGAAACAGAAAGAGAACGAATAGTCTAACTCTGTATATGTGAATAGCCATATTTAAGAGGAAAAGTTGAAGAGGAAGGGATGAGATCTGATACTGATAAAATCATTTCGTATCATTTATTTATTATTTATTTTATATTACTATCAATGAATATTCTAGAATTTCAAAAAACTACAATCTCATATCTAATCGAAACTGCAAATTTAAATTTAATTAAAAATTTAACAAAATTTTTTATCATAAAAAATCGTTCAAAAATTCGGTATAGAGAAAGAAGCGAATGTCCATCGCTAGATTGGAGGTTCAGTTAAAACAAGAAAAAGAACAAGAAACAGAAGTGCATTGGATAGAGACAGATAGATAATCAAGAGGGGCGGGGATCAAGTCGCTGGCGGGTAGGGGAAGGGTTGTCAGAGGGGGAAGTAGAGTGCAGCGGCCTGGTCGCCTATACTCCGCGTGACTATAGGCAGTCCGGCTAGGCTAGAGTCCGCGTATAATGTATTCTCGAATATCGTGCACTCTCTCGTGATCAATATAAGCTCCGACGCGGACCGAAGATGCACGAAGACCCACCTCCTCTTTCCTCGACCCGCCCGGACGATGTTTTTTCGTGCGGAGTGCAACGCACGCTGGATCGCGAGAACTGCACTCGCTTTCCCCTTCTCCCTGACTTTTTGTTTCTCTCTCTTTTTCTCTTATACAGACTATTTATCTTTGTCTGATACATACTGACTCGCTTTACTCTTTCATTTCACTCGATTATATATTCGTGACAGTGTCGAAACAGAAGAGGAGGGAAATGGAAGAATATTATAATCTTGGGAATTATTTAAATTCTCTCGTTAGCGGAAATTCATGTTCCTATACTTAATGAATATCAAACATAATGTTATATGGCAACTATAATATAGATAGTCTATTCTATGATTAACCTGATAGCATGAAGCTGGTAATCATGTTGATTGGTAACAAATTCTAAATTTTTTAATTTTTATAAAATGTTGGGGATAATATGTTATAACTGAATCAGAGATGTTTGAAATAGGTATAAAATATAGAATAAATGGAACGTGGAAGAAAGCAATAAAGCGTAATCGACGAAATCTTCTCGGCTTGATTGAGCGATATTCACTCATATGAATTAAAGTTTAGGCCTGCACACCTTCGCCGACACTTGGCTCTTCTGCTTCTTGACTCCTGCTGCCTCTCTGCGGCCCCTTGATCAACCTTTCGAGAGTAATGAAGCCTGTGACGACAAATATTTAACATACTAAAGGGTCGGCTCTCTTGGATTCACTTTATGATCCTTCGTCTATGATATTCACATCGATTAATTTTTCTATTAACCTAAACTTTAACCAAAAAAGTTTAATGAATATTACATTTTATATCATAAGTATTATGATATAAGCAAGGTATTTGATTAAGATTTTTATAAGCAACTATTTATCTTGTTGCTAATAACATTTAGATAAAAAAAAATATAATCCAATAGATGTTTATATTTCAATCTCAGCTGCTTTTCCCTTTTCAAGAAATAAAAAAACAAAAGAGGAAGACGAAGTATGGAAAGATGGAAGGAAGAAGGTAAAGATTGAAAGGCAAACCAGTCGAAGGAAGAAAATTGGTAGAAGCAAGCTGGTGCACGTTCCAGAAAACTGTCCGCCATGTCGGCCTCCACCACCCCCACTACATATATGCAGTCAGCAGCATGAGATATCGTCCGTTGCACTTTTAAAGCTTTCGTGTGAACGCACTATGTGTACGTATGCGTGTACTTATATCTGTGTGGAGAGCCGGCAAACTCACATATCCAGCAGTAGCTCCCCGTAAAAGAAGAGACTGGTCCGTTCGGTATCCAAGAAAGTAAAATCTTCCAATAGTAATATATCATTTTTACATCAATCCATCACGAAACATTATGAATATTATGATATCTTCACGTTAGTATAAATTGAGAAATATCTCCAAGACATAAGTTTTTAAGTTAATTATAATTAAAAATTTAAAAATTGAATGTGATATTTAAAAACATTTGGTTTTTTTCTATAGGATGAAATAACTGCAATATTTAATTTGGTGTTTGAAAAATATCCTATATGAGTATATTTTAATTTATAAAAATTTAATAATTTTACAAAAGAAAATGTGCTCAAAAAATGTGCATCCGATAAATAGAATAATATAAATATTCTTTCTTTCGATTCTGAACCTTTAAAAAAAAATTATCCGTTTCCTCTTAAAAGATTCTTATGTATTGCTCATTAAGAGAAAAGGCAAGCAAATAGCTATCGGTAAAAATTAGGGTCGGAACGATGTGGCGGGCGGGATTTTCGTCGCATGTTGACTGATTTTCTAAGTCGACCTTAGGTGGGATAACAGGGGGGAGGAGGCTGTCTCCCACTCGGTTGCAACGAGCTGGCAACGCCATTGGCAAGTGGCAACGCTGGCCAGCTGCACGAGGGAGGGGTAAGAGTTAGACTATAGCAATGTAGAGTGGGGTCGATGGTCCCCCACTGGTTACGCCACTGGCACTGAATTTCGCACGGCCTAAACGGAGAGCTGCGAGAAACAGAGACGGAACGCGACAGACCACTGACTGAAAGAGGGTGAGAGGGCAAAGACTAGATAGAGAAAGAAAAAGGGCGAGAGAAAGAGAAAGGAGGTAACCATGTGCGTCTCCGAGACAACCTCGAAGCTCTCTGCAACTATACGAACGTTCAGCTTCGTTTTCGTTCTCCTTCGCGCCGAATTCGTGCTAGCGTGTAAGTACGTTTATCCTATCGAGTTTTCTTTCCTGCTAACTTCTCCGTCCAGCCAATTCAATAGCCATCCCCTCTCAATCTCCGTTTCTGTTCCTCCACTTTCCACCCTCATGGAAAAGCAAATTCTCTCCGTGTCACTGAACCCGGTCGTCTGACCCCGTCGTTCGGTTTTTCCGCACGAAATACTTCGACCTCGTCTCCGGAAGTAGGATGAGACTTTTCTTCTTCATCCTTATGGTATCTACGCTATGTAATTCTAGAACAAAAATCATATATTCTCTCGTCTTATTGTTTCACTGTAAATTCTCTATATCATCTTTAAATAATCCGTGTTGCAGGTTTATGGGATCTGTGAAGATTCATCCCGACAGAGTATATTGCATCATGCGGGGGCCAATGAAATCCCCGGTGTACCGGGTAAGCAGCACCCTCTTCTCCCCGTCCCTCGAGCCCCCTATGAAAAAGATGATGTGAGGGCCGACGCGTGTGGAACACCAAGTGCAGCCGGGATCGCGGTTGATCGTTGTCGGGGAGCAAAGGTGCAAGCTTGATAGTCCGCTGTTTCGCTCGTTCCTCCGTTCCTCCCGTCCTCGTTCCACCGTCCATGTCTGGGTTCGTTCGCTGGTTCAGCTGGCGTCCCACGGCACGCAGTCTGTCGCTGTCATTGACGAAGTTCACTTCTAACGCAGTTATTTCTTTGAAAAAACGAGTATGTGTTCCATTATACGATGTTTTTTTTATGATTTCTTCGTTTTTAATTATACTTATGTATCATTTCTTTTGTGATATTTTGATTTTCTCTACAATTAATTTGGTTAACAAAAATATGGTGTTCAAGGAGTGAATTCCAATATGATCATATATTTCAAAGATATTTCCGGTATTTGAGACAAAAATCCAAGACATTTGAATATTTATCATCTAATTTGTAGGAAAATTTATAGAATTATTTCCTAGATGCATCTTCCTGAGACAATTTCAGAGGACGACGAGGTTAAGAATTTTCTTGAATTCGATTTTCCATGAAATCGGTCTCGCGATTCGCGACTGTGAGCGGTGATGAAAAGATGATATGGAATCTTCCAATGAGTGACGCGGGTGTCTAGCAAAGTGGAAAAGTGTTTTCTCGTCTCTTTTTGGATCTAGAGACCGTGGTTTTTCTTCGGTTAATTGTGCATTGTGACCAATGTGTAAGTGCAGTGTATCCAGTGTAGCAAACGTGCTAAAAAGTCACAAGTTTGGGATACTTATTTGGTGTAATCGATGGGAATAATTATTGGAGAAGCGGAATCAACGATTTCAAGGGTAAGTAAAAATTGAAAAATACAAGATATTATTTAATCATTGAAAATGATTATGAAGATAATTGGTACCAGGATTTTCAATGGATTGTATTATATTATTCTTGGAATGACCGGAAATTTTAATTTTAACAATAAACAATTGGTGCAAATTAATATATATTAGTTTCAGTTTCGAATCCATTACGCGTGATATTGAACGTTATATAAAATAGATTATTTTTCAGAAGTTTTTATCATGGAATTCAATCGTATTTCAAGTATTTATCTTATATATATATATTAATTTTTTACTTTTAAAAATATCTTTAACATTTTTTATGAAAAAGTTTGAATCTTTTGAAAAGGAATCAATACTTCTACGTATTAGTTTCTTAACACTATTATAGAGTTGCAAATCTTACGAATTTATATCTAATCATATAGTTTTTGATTATCCATATAATATCTTTAATTATTTATCTAAAATATTTTTAATTTTCAATCATTTTTAATAGTTTTCATTCGTTAAGGCGAAACATGATTGAAAGTCACTATTTTTATTTCATAAAAAATTTAGATATCGGATTATAATATATATATATATATAAATTATCGAACATAGTTATATTATTTATAGAAGATGTGAAGGATCAACAACTTTCCTTTTGATGCAGTATGTAGGATTCTACATCGATAGAGGAAGGAAGTATTTTTCGCCATAGAGCGATAAAATTAACCTTAACCTCTTGTTAGATACATGCACTCGGGGTCAATGACATTCCCTGTTGTTTCATTTCCCTCTTCGACGCATGCGCACATTTTGACAGGTCTGAGGCGGCGAAGATGTTTCTAAGAGAAATATATATAATTATATCAATGCTAATGTTCTTTGTTTCAATTAAAAATTGAATTTTTCATTTTGTGAAACAGTAGAAGTTTTGTTTAAAATGTGCAATTGTAATCGATTTTGTATTTGTATGGATGAAAAGATCATAATCTTCTTTTCAAAACCGTTGCTATGGTTATTCCGGTGACATCTAAATGAGATTAAAATAGAAACTATTTCATATTTTTTCAGATATAAATCATTTTTAAGATTTTAAATTAAATTTCATTGAGAATATAGTATAGTTAGAAAATTTGAAAAAATATTTACAAAACATAATTCAATTTCTTTTTTAAATAATAAAAATAAAGAGTGACTAGAAATAATCAACGACATATCCATAATATTTTACTCTTTATTTCATTTTCCATATTAAAAAATATCGACATTTGTTTCTAAAAACATTATAAATTCTTCGAATTATAATATTTTATTTCAAATCATTAATTTCATAGTTATAAAAGATAACAAAGAAAACATTGTACTATGATTTGAGATATTATGTAAGAAAAATTTATTATTTATTATTTAAAATTATAATTCATTAGTTGATCATTTCAATTTCAAAAACAAATAATTATTTTTTACGATATAATTATGCTAAATATCTATGTATTATCTTCATTATTTCAAATTCTATTCAACTGACGCCATATTGAAATGGCGCGTTTCTACTGAACGATTTTCTAACATAAATTATGTTAACAGAATTATATTTAGGTAATCTATATTATAGCTATTCTTATTTGAAAAGTGTCTACACTTTTAAATTAATAAATTATAATGAAATATTTAAAATTATATATATATATATTGAACAAAGAAATATATTTCTATGTGAAATTATCATAATTTTATTGTTACGATCTTTTTTATTTTTATTTTAGGGTTAACGATATTATTATTATTAATATATTTATTATTTAATATGTTTGCCTTCTCTTGATTTATTTTTTTTGTTTCTTTTTTTTTTCTTTACCATGGCATAGATCGATGGAATCAACGTGTTCTAACTGTAGCAAAATAAGAGAGAAAAAAAAACAGAAAGCTGGAAGACTGATAAATGCGCGGGAATTGGAGATTTATCGTACTTATTCTAGCAATTCGAAGCTGTTTGATTGTTGTTAGTTTCGATAACTTATCATTAGTGATTGTTTCATACAAAAAAGAATATGTTTTAAAGAAATTTTAGACTTGTTTCTTATGAAATATTACTTTTGTAATATTCTTTTCTCTATTATGGTAATGATTTTTTATAAAATATGAACACATAGATATATATAAATGAATTTTTTTTTAAGTCAAAACTCGATTAAGAAATATTTTATATTATAGCAAATATTCAATTTCTCTAAGTTAATATCTTTGAAAGGTAAAGGTAGTAAAGCTTATATCTGGTATCTTAATTGATAATATTAAAAAATAATAAACGATGAAGTTTGATTGGAAAAGAGAAATCAAATTTTTTATGTTTTTCGCAGCCGGTAAGGTAGGGCAAGGATCGAGGATTGAAAGTTTAAAAAGGAAGCTCGCATAAGAGGGCACAGGAACCAAAAAAAGACACTCGCGAGCGAGATCAATACCCCACCGGTGCAATGTACTCCTGCGGTCTCCTCGTTGCAGCTCGATTGTTCGCGAATGAAAAACGAATGGCGAACGAAAAAATGCGAGCCGTAACTAGAAACCATTTCGAAGATAAGAGATTGTACTATTAATTAATTAAACTTATAAGCACATTCATCACATTCAATTAATTATAAGAAAAAAACTAGAAAACATAGACGTAATTAAAACAATTTTATAGATGGCGCGATGATCGTCTTTAAAACCAAAATTAAATGTAATAATAGCTGTAATTGATTTATAATAATTTGCCTCGATAATTTCTGTTTGATTTTAAAATTTGATAAAAATTTGTCTAGAAATTCTTTATTTTTTTTAATTTTTTAAATTTTTCTATAGTTTGATGAAGGATTAGAAATTGCAACTCAGCTGATAGGTTTCCCTGAATTGAGTTGAAATAAGCGGCGAAACGCCAGGAAGAGAAGACGGAAACGGAAACTAGTTCCGGCCAAGATCAATACCTAAGTTGTGCAACAGACTGTCTGGCGCAAGCCTTGTTCCTTGCTTGCGTGTTCCCCGTGCGCGGCACGCAGCGTGCAACGCCTCGTTGCAACCGGTGCAACGTGCAATGCCACGATTTACTCGCTCATGGGTACACGCATGGCTACTCTCATCTAGCCGGCTATTGGATAGGTCAGTGTAATTGATATTAACACCTTTATGTTTTCAACACAATATCTATCAATCATTAAAAAAAAAAAAAACAAACGTGATATATAATATCTTTTTCATTTTTTGTTTTTCTCAATTGCATTAGTCATTTTATAATTGATAATAATCGTATAATAAGTTATTTCTGGAATAAATTTTGAATTATAAACCAAAGTTTAATTATAAATAATAATAATAATAATTTTAAAATTAAAGGAAAATGATTTTGAACCGGTATTCAATGATCACATAAAGATTATGTGATTATATATTTTTTCTCCAAGTAGAAATATCACGTGATTCGTGAATTGTATTCGTAAGTGCCCTCTTTCCGATGATACATCATTTTTGACTATTGTTTTTTCTTCATATGACGCATTTATCTCTTTTATTAGACAAGAAATGATGGTAACGTTCTGCTATATTTTTCAGATAATTTTATGTTCTATTTATCTGTAAATTATTTTTAATACAATATCTCTACAATTTTAACAAAACTTATAGGTAAAAATATTTTACATTTAAGTATCTATAGTGATATCATCCCGATAGATATAAAATGATGATATTTATAGATAATAGGGTAATTTCGAGTGAAGTGGCCTTGTGCGTGAAATGGAAGTTATGACTCGATTTTGCGGAAGTCATAAAACGTTCTGATTTTAACTTGTTTTTGATAAAACGTTGTGTAACGTATTATATATACAAAATTACATTAATTATTATTTTTTTTATTTATTTTTAATTGAAAAATCAAGTAAATTATATGTAATATAAAAATTGTATCGAAAAGTTTTTTAAATTACAATTTATTTTATCGAAAAGTATGTAAATGATTTTTTTAGAATGAAATGTGTTAATACAACGTTCAGAGGTTATGTTCGTATGATGAAATCTTATTATATGTTATTGAAAAAAAAAAAGTAAATTATCATTCTTTGACTTTCGAATTAGATGATTTGGTTTTTTATGGGATAAATAACCCATAAAAATCTAAAATATAAAAATATACATACCTAATTTAAGATGTCATTTTAGATTATATTTTCTTAAATGAACAAGAATGATTAGAATAACGATTAGAATAATATATTACAAATATTTTATAATTATTAAAGAAATTATAGAATAATTTGCTAATGTGGTTGGTTATAAATGTTAACGACTAGACCAACATATTATAAATGTTAACAAAATTAAAATTTCTATAACAAAGATAACAAATATATTATTGAATCAGATTAATCTAATTTCCAGTATCTCAATTTATACAGTTCAGCAAATCAAGAAATATAAAACAGATTATTTATCATTTTAACACCTTCTGAAAACATTGATAAAAGAAGAAATATTGAAAAAAAGAAATTTGCAATTGAAATTTCAAAAAAGAAAGAAAAACAAAAGATTTAAAAAAAATTAAACACATTTAAGCAAGATGCCTTTTGATGAAAATTTTTCAAATTTTTCTCTATAAAAAAATGATGATATTTCTGAAGAAAAAGATAATAATACTAAATACATGAAATATGAGAAATAATTTCATGAAGAATGTTCAAAATTTTTGAAATATATATACACAAATATTTTTATCCAGAAAAAGGTAATAATTTTTTGTTTTATTAGATTTATTTTTTATTTTTTTTTTTTTTTATCTATCATACCCTGAAGCAAGGATTATCTCACTCCAGATAAAACAACTTTATACATGGTATTCAATTTTTTTTCTCAAAATTATGATTATTTTTTATTTTATTCTTTAATATTATAAAATTACACGCATTTACATTTACAAATATATTTATTTCTTTTGTTTAGATATCAATTAACTTTATGATGTGCTGATTATTTTAAAAAATGAGTGAGCCATCTTCGGAATTACCCTAAATAAAAATTTTCTTCAAATGATTTTTAGAAATCATTTAAAAAAATACGCTTACAAGCCTATATTATATATATAAACCTTCATTTTATTACAATTGATCTAAGAAATTGATCGCGAGAAAGATATTCTTGGAAATAACGGTAATGTTGAGAAGAAGTTCCGTAGAATGAATATGGAGGTACTTATCTGGCATTGACAATGAGCCACAATCTTGTGGTGTTGTGTTACACCTGTCGACTGTCCATGTGTTTAAGTCGGATGTAATTAACGCGACTCGACAGATATTCCCAGATAATGACATAGCGTTAATTGGTACTGATTCGCAACATCCAGTTCAAGGTCATCGATAATTAGTTCACGATTTGGTCGCAGGTAATTGAAATTATACATAATTGATAGTTCATGGTACCGGTGAAACTTATCTTTCGTGTTTAGAAACTTTCAAAGAATTTATTACATTTGTTGTAATTTATTGTTTAATCATGAATATTATTTCATGAATATAATATTATGCAATATTAATATTGCATAATCATGAAATTTTTAAAAATGATTAACGAAGTAATTTTTTTTTTTTGTAAAGAGGAAAAATTGATGAATGTCGTTAAAAATCTTTCTAAAACTTATGTCTTAAAATCATTTGTTATTATATATATATATATATAAACAATGAAATACACAAGAGTAACCAGATATTTTGCGCTATTGAAATAATGGTTGAAACTTTTACAAGAAGATAACGTATTATCAACTGATAAACCCGGATTTGCTAATTTCATTGACGTTCATCATAAGAAAAAAATAATTAATCTTTTTGCAATTTACACAACTATATATTTTTATCGATTCGATCATACAATTTTTTTTCTTTCAAATTTATTGCGACATTTTTCTATCGATAAAACGTAATCTTATCTGACGTTGAAAGTTACGCAAGCAGATATGAATTTGGATTCTGATATCACAATCAGGATTTCCTTATGACAATTTAATCGTAGCAATAGATACGAGCAAATGAAAATGTGGTCAAACGATTTAATCGAAATATTAATTTATGGAATCAGAGAAGATCGATAACCTTGCTCCAATTTGTTTGTTTGCTGTCACCGACTTAGTTGGAAGGAAAAATCTTATTTCGTTTATATTTTTTAAATTTCGTTTCGATATATTTAATTCTAAAATCGTCGTTTATTCTAGAATTATAACATTTTTTTTTTCTTCTTTTAGATTATTTATCTAATTATTCGAATAAAATTTGAAATATAAATTTATTAGAAGAGAGATAAAATGGCGTGTTAAAGAAAAAAACACAGAATTTCGAGAAATATTCAAGCGACAAGAGCAACGTATCGAATCGATTTGATTGTCGATATCTTTCCAAGAGGCAAGCTACCTATTCTGTACAGAATATCCATCCAGGCCCATAATTCGTGAGTCGAGAGAGGAGAGGGAGAGAATGCACGCAGTGTGCGTTCGATCTAGTCAGTCTCTAGTAGAACGCATGCCGGTCATTGGTTGGTTTGTTCTATGTGGTGGGCGGAGATAGGCGTATGGGAGTACTAAATCGAGCCATGGTGTCCCTTTTTTCCATCCCTTCCTCACCCCCTCCTAGAGTCCTCTCATCCCCCTCTCCATCTGGGCCTCTCCCTTCCTCCATTCAGTCATTCAGTCTCTCTCTCTCTCTCTCTCTCTCTCTCTCTATATCTCGTTCTTAACGATAACATTCGTTGTATCCTTTTGCACAAGTTTTCAACAATTTACCAATATCTAATTGATAAATCGAAATCTGATTAAAATTCTCTAGGATCTTTCATTTTCTAATTTATTTCATTACATTTATTTTAGCTATATATCAGACATATTTTAGAATATATTAGAAAATAAGATTTTAATTCTCTGTGATTATCTTTGAAGGGAACATAGGATTGCAAAGTAATTATATTTCTGTTAGAAAAATTAAGAAATTTTTATCAATGAAATATCTTTTACATTTGCTATGAAAGCAAATCCGACTGCAATTTCAGAGCCAATAAGAATTCAGCAATGAATTTAAAAATTCTTTTCATTCAATGGATGGAATGTTTGTTGAAAGTATTGAAAATTGATTCGAGAGATAGGGAAGGCAAATGATAGTCCAAGACAGAGACCAAGTGCATTATAACGGCAGTCCAGTTGCATTGGCCGCTGGTCCAAATCGGCTGGATGCTCGCCGAGCTGCAACCGAAGGCGAATACACCATCAGACACGTCCTTTTTCCTTGGTTCGCAGCTCTTGTTCCCGCAGGACAGGATTGACCAGTTCTCGGCCGATGCAAGTTCGCAAGATATTCAAATGCGCCTAGTCGGTGTTTCTTCGCGCTTCCTCCACTACTCGTTCCCCTTTGTTTCTTTCATACTTTTGGGAAGAATCTCTCTTTATTTATTCGCCTAGTTAACGAAAGAATTCTCAGGCAAAGGGGAAGTAAATGTTACTGTAAGAGAAATCCTTTTATTGCCGCCATTCTTAGATGAAATTGGATATAAAGATATGTATGTTCAAAAAGTGAAATTATAGAGTTATTTCCTTTACATATCTACATATAAAATGAAATTTATATTATTATATCTAATTGATCCTTTTTTCTGATGATATAACTGATGATAAATGATTGTTTTGGAGAATTGTTGAGTCATGTTGATTCTTTTTCAAGATGGAGGACGCGCGTAGCAGATATTCCACCTGTTCTGACCGAGGAAGGTCGATTCGCTTTTCAACGGGTTAAATCGATTATCGTTTCCAATCTTCTTCAGTTATATATATATACATTTCCATTAACTTTTGTTTATTATTCTATATTATTCTATATATTCTATCTTTAAAGTGGATATCATTATTATAGTGTTCAGAAAAAAGATTTTATTCATTTTATTCATTCCTTTATTTCTTAAAACATTTATATTTCTTAATAAATTTATACAAATTAATTTATTATTTGTATCTCCATATAGATTAATGAAATAGATAACAGTTGAGCTTAATTTTATTCAAAGATTTTGATTTTTCAAATAAAGCATGTAAGCATTTTTCTCTTATATAGAATACAATTGCATTTTTTCATTTATGTACAATTGTATCATTATAGATATCATTTTTTTTGGATTTTTTAACTTTGTAAATATTTTACAATTCATGTATATCTGTATGTGTAATGCACATGCATATTGATTATATATATTTAAAAAGACAACATCTGATATCGTGTTGCTATGGGAACGTTTCTTCTTCTGTTCTTTTACTCTTCTCCGCTTCTCTTCTTTTTATTTTTTCTTTTCACGGATTTCTTGCGGTTCGTGAGGAAATCTATCTCCATCGTAGCTATATTTTTGTAGTCATAGCGACGAGTTGTCATCGACAATGGAAAGGAATCTGTGTCGATCTATGTAATTAACTTCATGCTAGTAATTATACAGTCAGTGTTCGATTTCTTTCTATATATGCACTTACTTGTATTATATTCTTTCTTTGATTGAATTCAGTAATTCATTTAATCTTCATTAAATTTAATTCTTAATAAAGTATTTCTTGATGTAAGTTATCAATTATTGTGATTTAAATTTGGAAAAATGTGATAAATACATGTATGATACATGTATACATGTACAACGAAGAAATTTGAAAAGATTTATTCCTTAAATTTTTTTATTCTTTAAATTGTTGATCAAAATTTAACAACAAATAGATATTAATTTTCTTGTTGCAAAACGAAGAAATTAAAATTGAAAAATCCTTGTAGAAGTAAGGATAATGAAAAATTTGTGATAATGATTGACTTCATTTATTTTATCAGCTATTAAAAAATAAAAATATTAATAAAGATTGATATATTTTTTAATGAAAAAAATTTATAATATTTGTGAATAGGAAATATTTGTTTTTCATCACCAATTTTTCTTTATTAAAAAGTATAGATATATATACATATATATATATATACAACTATACACATTTATGTATTCCGTGAATGTTCATTGTTCACCCAGCTAATGTTTCATTCCGCGAAGCGAGTCGAAGTGAAAATATATCAGCAGAGATAAAGGATTGCGTGTTGAAAACCGAGTCTGTGCTACCAATTGCTAACTGACCAATATTACTGGAATTCACATGAATATTTTTATGAAACTTTGTGAGAAAATAAAACAAGAAAAATACATACTTCATTCTTTTTCATGCTATTAGATTGATGATACTCAAATGCATCAGTATTATATTTTTATTATTTCTTATTTTATTATATAATTTCTTACAGAAATATATTTCCTTTCTAATATTGCTTTTTATACTGTTTCACATCATAAACTATAAATTCTTTTTTGGCTCCTGATTCTTTTCTGAAATATATTTGTAACAATATTTCAATTATCTTCTGAAAGATTGTCACCTTAAAAATTATGATGGAAATAATTATTATGATGGAATAATTATGATGGAATATGATATCCATTATTTGATTATGAACTATAGAATACAAATTTCTTTGAATATCCATGATCTTGCCTATTTTTTAGAATGAAAGGAGAAAGATTAGATAAGTATAAAATATCGATTTGAAAAAATTATTTGAAAAATATTAATGATAAAATAAATATGTGTATGTGTCGGCCCTGGGATATGCAGTTCATTCACACGACTGTGTCTCGCTAAATATAATATGGCGGTGACCCCGGTCCTCCACCGTCGACTCTTCTCCCTTCCCCGACCCCTCGATACCCCACTACTACTCCCTTCGATGCTTCCCTAATTCAACGCCCCTGTGATTGCGTCTCTGCCCCCGCGTCACTCCTCCTTGTCCTCGGGACCATACCACTCCGCTTCTTCGTATGTTCCCTTCTCTTTTCCTTTCTCTTCTCTTCGCTTAACTTCCTTTCTTTTCTCTTCCCCTCCTCTTATCCTCTTTTGCCCCTGGAGCTTTCTATTCTCTGTCTCCCAAGAAAGAAAAACCGAGCGAGAAGAGGCCTCTGATCCTCTTATCTTCCTGTTACTTTTACGGTTGTTTCAGTCGTACCAACTGACTTGATGATTACACGAGCTCTTATCCACGAGCTTTTGAAATTTATATTCATGTTATAAATTTTTATCAATTTTTAACGACGAGTCTTAAAAATTTTGGTTTAAATATATAGAAAATGTTAATTAATAATTATATTAAAATAAAAGTTTGAATAAGATTTAAATTTTTAAAGGATTTCATTGGAAAAGGAAATAAATGTAGAATTTAGAAAGAGAAATTTGCATTGATCACTTGACATTTTTAAGAAGCATAATATAACTAACTATTAGTTACTAAAAGTTCTTTCTTTTTTTGTTTTTTCTATGATAGATGGAGACCAAAAAGGAAACGATTGCCAAGGAATCTAGAGAGGGGTGCAGCTTTTCATGTAGCGTACATAATTCCCCCTTGACTACTTCTGCATCCAGATCCTTCACCGTCTTCCAGACCTTAAGATCCATCCACAACGAATGATCTCAATTTTCCTCTTAAATCTTTTCTCCTAAACTTGGAACTTCGAGATTTAAAATTCAAATTCACGATGAATTTGTTTTTAAACAATATTCAAGGTAAAATTAACATTTTTCATTTTCTTATGCATGAGTATTAGATTAAGAGATTTCTTTATAATCGAATATCCAAGTTACTTTGTGTTAAGTAGAATGTGACCAGTTAATCCGGAATATGTATTAATTTATTGCACGTATTTCAGGGTCCAGATCGTAAAGCATAATCGGTCAGTTGGAAACAGTACCTAACATCCCTTAGGGCCGCGTGAGGAGAAATGCAGAGGCCATTCAACTGTCTACGAGCGAAGCAGGCAGGGGATTTTTACAACGCCCGACTCTCTACCTACTCTCCTGTATTCTTCTTGCTCTTCTTCCCTCTCTTCGTCTTCTTCGTCCTTTTCTTCGTCTTGTTTCTTATAGGATAGCCTCGGCCTTCTTTTTCTATGCCCTCCTGATCTCTCTACCCGGCAACGGCGTGGCGAATCAGGGAATCTCATGCGTGAGAAATTCGAACCTAAGAACCTTCGAAATATATGAAATTTGATATGAAGAATATTGCTTCTAAATAATAATTTTAGAATATGTATAACCTATTGAATATCTATATTCAATAGGTTTAATTTTCAACGAGTTTGACAATTATTGATATTCCTCTATCTTTTCATAAGAATAATAATTGTCATAATAAGTTTATTAAGTAATCAACGATTTTAATAGTTAATTTATTGATTTAAACAAGCCTTTTAATTTCATCAATATTCTCTTTTTATTTTTCTTTTCTTCAGTTTGATGATAAATAAACATTATTGGTCAAGAAACATTGAAAAAAATAGAAATAATAAATATATATATTTAATTATATAATCAAAAGTAATTCTTCGTTAATTTTCAGGTGCAGTTACAATACTTTTCAATGGACAAAAGCAAGCAGGAAAAAGAAAGTTAGGAATACAGCGCGGAACAATCCAGTGATAGCCGTTATCAGCTATACTTGATGATACTAACCCGTAGATCCGAACTTGTGGGCTTTTTTATATGTATACCGCAAGCTCCTATCTACCGGTACATGTAGTCAGGCCAGCATTTAAGCTTTTCAACGGAACCTCCTCCTTCTCCTTCACACCCTTCTGCCCTCCTGAAAGCCCGCAGCACTTCCGGTTATCAACGCATATACTTCTTGTCAAGTAATTTTCTCGATGGAATAAGAGAGTGAGAAAAATAGAGAGAAAGAGAGAGAGAGAGAGAGAGAGAGAGAGAGAGAGAGAGAGAGAGAGAGAGAGAGAGAAAGAGTATCAATAAAGAAATTGTGACGAGAGAATAAGAAAAGAGTAATAGTCTATGATATTATCATATTCCGTTTTAACTATCAATTGATTTAAAAAAAAAAAAACGCATGCTATTTTTGCAAAATTAAAACGAAAAACAATAGAATACAAAAAGCGAAATGTGTTTATGTCGATAAAATTATTTAATTAAATTATTTATTTAAAACTTTATTTAATTTAAAACTTTATATTTTAAGATTAAATAAGATTTTAAAGATATTTTCAAGATTGTTAATTTTTTACATGACTTATAAACTCGTTATTATGAAGCGTAATTATAAGTGTCCATAGAGAGGATGATGACGAAGAGAACAACTACATTAGCGACGATGCCTGGGTGAGGTAGTAGGTTGTATAGTAGGGAATGGAAATTCGCGATATACGAAGTCCACTGTACAACTTGCTAACTTTCCCGGTCGTCGACGCCGCAACATTTCATCATTCAACAGCATCATCAAGAAGATAATAATCATATCTTTTTCTCTAAAAA